GGGCTGTCATGCTGGACTGAGGGGGGAATTGGCGCTGCCAGGGCTGGGGGGCCAGGGCCATCCTCTGCTGGGGTTTGGGCAGCCCCACATGTGCTGCCCTCGGCACTGGGGTTCGGCTGGCCCTGCCCCAGGGGACTCCGTGTGGCCGGAGCTCTGGGGCTGCTGCCCCCGGTTCCCCGTCTCTGCGCCACCCCCAGCGCCCAGGTGTCCCCTGGCTGAGCCAGGTGCCAACCCTGCCGTGCAGGTCGGTGCCACACCCCTGGCACGATTCTGGACCCCGCTGCGCTCCCTGCACGGGGACTGGCAGCAAAGGGCCCCGGGGGCTCCCCCAGGCTGGGGAGAGGGGCTCCCCCTTCCCTGCCCCAGGCAGGAGGCCCCAGTGCAACCCGTCCTCTCCTTCCTGCCTCCCCTCTCCCGCACCCCAGGTCTCTCTCGGCCCCAGCCCCCCTCCCGGGGGCGCTCTCTGTCCCATGCTCCCCTGAGGCTCTGGCCCTTTCCCTTGGGCAGTAGCCAGTTTACACGGCTGGCTGCATTTGGTGATTTGCAGCCCACGGTGGGAACTGGGGAGTCCCTGTGGAGTCAGGCCGGGTGGGCTCAGGAAGGAGGCGGGTGTCTGCGCTAGCCGCTGGGGGCTGGTGGGGCCGCGCTGGGCTCTGATGGCCGCCTCTGGGTTATCATGTAGGTACATGTTCCAGGGGGGCACCAACTTCGGCTACTGGAGCGGTGAGTCGCCCCCCCCCCCCCCGCCCATGGGGAGCAGGGGACCCATGGAGGGCACAGGGCTGGCGGGTGCTGCCTGGCGGGTCCCTGCAGGGCTGTGGTACCTGGGCATTCGCCCATCCTACTGGGGCCTGGTCCAGCGAGCCCCTTCTCTGCCCATCCCTGGGGTGCTCTCTGCTGTCAGTAGCGCTGCACGGGGGCTCCTGTGGCCCATGCCAGCACCGGCCCCCATCCTCCAGGAACGCGCCAGGCCATGGTCCGTGTGGTTTCTGTGCCGCGGGCCAGGCCCCGTTCCCATGGAGCTCCCAGCAGCCCCTGGCCCTTGCCCCCATCTCCCTCGGCTTGCCAGGCTGCAGGCCCCGAGCCAGTGGGGGGCACGGCAGGGCCCAGCCGCGGCTCACTCCGCCTGCCTTTGCCAGGTGCCGACTACAAGGGCCGCTACAAGCCAGTCACCACCAGCTACGACTACGACGCGCCGCTCTCGGAGGCAGGTGACCCCACCGCGAAGCTGTTTGCCATCCAGACGGTCATCAGCAAGGTACTGAGCCCAGCGGGCCGCGGGGGGGGGGAACCACCCTCCCCACCGCCTGGCACCTCGCGGAGCCCCGGGCAGAGCACAGAGCCGGCGCTGCTGCCTGTGTCAGGGCAGGGCTCTGTCCGGCCAGCCCCAGCGGTGCCAGCACCGTAATGCCCTGCTCACTGCAGGGACAGCGGGGGCGAGGGCGGCTCTGCCCTGGCAGGGCAGAGGGAGTGGGGTGCCCCCTGGCGGGTGCCCTGGGTTAATGACTCTGAGCCCAAAGAGCTGGGGTGCCAGGCACGGCTCCGGCCCCCTGTCCCCCTTCCATGGCATCCGCAGGGGGGGCCGTGCCCCTGACCCAGCCTGGCCGGCTCCTAACGGGGGTTTGCTGTTCAGTTCCAGCCCCTGCCTGAGGGTCCGATGCCACCCGCCACCCCCAAGTACGCCTACGGCCACGTGCCCCTGCGGAAGGTGAGTGGCTGCCCTGGGAGCTGCCCCCCCCACCCTGGGAGGCCCCCACCCACCCTGCCCCTCTCCTCTCTTGCAGCAGGGCGAGGTGCTGGAGCTGCTGGACGTGCTGTGCCCCGGCGGGCCCATCCGGAGCCGGTTCCCCCTCACCTTCGAGGCCGTGAAGCAGGTGAGGGGGTGGGGTGGGCACAGGGTCCTGGCGCCAGGCTTCTCCTGTGCCAAGGCTTTCCCTGGGAAGGAAGGAGCTGGGCCTGCTGCAGCCCCTCGGCCCCCTGCTCCCACGGGGCTCTCACCCTCCGCTCTGCTGCAGGCTCATGGCTTCGTCCTGTACCGGACGCGCCTGCCCCGGGACGTCTGGGATCCAGCCCCTCTGAGCTCCCCTCCCAACGGCGTCTGCGACCGGGCCTATGTGCTGCTCAACGGGGTGCGTACCGTCCTGCTCCTGGGCCCCGGGGGGCAATGCCCAGCCCCTCTCTGTGCAGCGGGGGGGTTAGTGCCCGTGGGGCGGAGGGGCTGGCAGTGCTGGAGGCAGCCTGGGGTGGGGGCTGTGCCACCCTCGCAGGGGTCCCTGCTTCTAGGCACATCTCCTGCACTTGGCCCCCGGAGCCTGTTGGCCTTTGCCCTGGTCCCATCTCCGCTATGGGGTGGATCTGTCGGGGGGGGGGGTTGCTTTCGCGTTCACCCCACAGGGTATCCACATGGGAGGGAGACCTGGGAGCTGCTTCCGCCTGCCTGCTGCTGGGGAGAGTCCGTCTGGTCGCTCGCCTGTCCCGGTGTGTGCAGGGAGTGGGGGGGCCCAGACCGGCCCTGGAAGGCTGGCACTGAGGGGCCTTGGGGGAGGGGAGGCTGGTGCTGACCCGATTCCCCATGCCGGCCTGGCGCCAGGAGTACCAGGGGAGGCTGGAGCGCGACGGGCAGATGACACTGAACCTCACGGGCCAGGCTGGCGCCACGCTGGACCTGCTGGTGGAGAACATGGGCAGGATCAACTTTGGTGTGAACGCCAGCGACTTCAAGGTGAGGGGCGGGACGGGAGGTGGGCGCACTGCTGCCAGGTGCCCCCTGAGCTGGGCATCCTCAGTGCTGCCGCCCCTGCAGAACTAGGAAGGGGTTGGGCAGGGATGGGGCAGCAGCTGGTGGAGCCAGGCATGGAGCAGGGCTGGGCAGCCTCCCCACTGGAAGCCCCTCCTGGCATGGCCCTGCGCTGCCTCTGGATGCCGGGGAGCGGGGTTCGCCCTGTGTGGGGAGCAGTGGGGATGGGGCAGCCAAGGGGGGAAAGGGGGGCAGGGCCGTCCGCTCCCTCCCCACCGGTCTCCTGTCCCCGTGTTCACAGGGCCTGCTCCAGAATCTCTCCCTGGACTCGGCTCTGCTCAGCGACTGGCTGATTTACCCCCTGGACGTAGACTCGGCTGTGACACGTGGCTGGCCCCTGCCCACCCCCCAGGCTGAAGGGAGCAGGGCTGGGCTGGGGCCGGTTCTCTACACTGGGGCCTTCCAGACCCCTGGCATCGCCTGGGACACCTTCGTGAAGTTCCCCGGCTGGAGCAAGGTACCGCTGAGGGCAGGGGGGGCCGGCTGGGGCCTGGCTTGGTGGGCAGTTCTCCCACTGCGACGTCACAGCCGCTCGCTCCCCACTGCCGGGCCGGGGGGGGGGGGAGCACCGGGCGGGTGTGGGGGGTGGAGGCAGCGGGAGGGGAGGCGGGGGGGCAGTGTGCCAGGCTGAGAATGCCCCCCGCACTCATGCCCTCTCTCTGCCCCTCCAGGGCCAGCTCTGGATAAACGGCTTCAACGTGGGCCGGTACTGGCCGGCCCGGGGCCCCCAGCAGACGCTCTTCGTGCCCGGCTCGCTGCTGAGCGCCTCGGCCCCCAACAACATCACCCTGCTGGAGCTGGAGGGGGCCCCCCCCAGGCCCTCCGTGCTGTTCCTGGACCGGCCCCTGCTCAACCAGACCGTCAGCCCCCAGGCTGGGACCGAGCTGCCACCTCCCTAACGCACCCCCCGGTGCCTCCTGGGCCCCACAGGCTCCCCCAGCCCAGGGCCCTGGCCTTTGGACATCCTCCCGTGCCTTGGCGATGCCCAGATCTCCTGGCCCCACCAGGCGTGGCCAGCCCAGCCAGCAGGGGCGGGGGAGTCCTGCCGGCTGAGCAGAGCCCAGGGGCTGCGGGGTGCCCCCACCCTCACTCACAGGGCAGGGCCAGGGCCCCTTGCAGCCGCAGAGGAGGGGGACAGCGTTGCTCCTGGTGAAGTAGCAGGTACTGGCTGGGCCAGCCCCCAGCGGGCAGAGCCCGTCCCTCTGCCAGCGGCAGAGCCCGCGTGTAGCCCCTTGGGACGGGCAGGTATCCGGAGCCCCGCCGAATGGAGACACAGCGTTCACTGCCTGCAGCTTGCCCTTTATTGCCAGGTTTGGGGTGCGTTGTGGCCGCTTGCCAGGGTGGGGGTGGGGGGCAGAGCCAGCAATGCCGCGGGAGCCGGTTTCCTGCCTGCTGGCTCACGCCCCCCAGGCTGGGCACCAGGGGTTACATTTTATTACCTGTTAAAGCAAAATCTTGTGCCTTCCCTGCCCTGTCCGGCGTGTTCTGTCACCCTGGCGTTGCGCCCGCCCCAGCGTGGTTCACAGCAAACCTCAGGGGCCGTGAACAGCTCGGACTGACCATGGGGGCGCCCGGGGGCGCCGGCTGAGCTGCCCTGAGCCAGAGCTTGGGGGCACTCAAGGGCCATTGGGGGGCTTGCTCAGAGTACTGGGGTCAAGGTACTGGATCCTGGGGAAGAACCGGGCACCCGTCTGCAGCATGGCCCCCAGCATGCAGGGGGTGACCAGGGCCTTGGGCACGGGGGGTATATCACTTCCCCCCCCTTCCCCAGGTCCAGCAGCAAGGGCAGATGCAGGCTGGGCTGAGCTGCAGGGGCAGTGGCCCGAGTCAGTCACTTCAGCTACCCCGGGCCTGGAGCGGGCGGGGGGCCAGCGCACCCCCTGGGTAAAGGGGAGGACTCACGGGTGCCAGGCAGGGCCCATGGTGCTGCAGCGAGCTCCCACCCAAGGCAATGAGCTGCTGCCCATGGGGGGCGCTGTTCTGAGCCAAGCTGCCCGTCATTGACCACCCCCTCCCCGGCTTGTGGGCCACCCAGCTGCCTGGCCCAGGGAGCTGGAGCCCCTCAGGCGGTTCGCACAGCACCAGCCTTGTGCCCTCTGGGCACTGGGCAAGGGTGCCTGGTCCCTCCTCCATTGATCCACCAGCCACGCTGCCCCCAGCTGCAGCCTGCTCCCCCTGCCTCAAACCAGGGCCCTGCCTCAAACCAGGGCCCTGCCCCTTGTGTTACTGATGCTCCCGCCCAAGGGTTGGTGCTCGTCCCCCCACCCAACCCATCCTGTGCCATGATCCCCTTCCCCTCAAGGCGGGGGCAGGTGCAGGGGGCTGCCCCCTGGGCTGGGAAGGAGGCTGTGACTCGGGCTCAGCCCCCCCGGGAGTGCCCAACGCCTCCCCCTCCCCCACAGCACCCAGCAGGCGACAGTCCGTTTCCACACGTGGCAGCCCCCTGGCTTGGCCGGCCTGGCGCGGGTGCTAGGTGGGGCCGGCGCGGCCCCGGCGGTGGGTCTGCAGGCAGCCCGTGGAGCAGAAGGAGAAGTCGAGGTAGTGGAAGGGGATCCGGCCCAGCAGGGACTCCCCGCACTGCCAGCAGCGCCTGCACAAACCAGAAGGTACAGCATGGGCAGGGGCCCAGTCCCAGTCCCAGTCCCTGCCAGCAACTGGAGAGGGGATCTGGCAGCCCCACAGGGGAACGGTGCCTCCCTGGTGCCCGCCCCACATCGCCTCCCCCGGGTACCTCCCCCCCCAGCCCCACAGCAGGTTCAGTGCCCAGGGCCCCGTTACCTGGTGTTGGCGAGAGCCGCGCCCGTGTCCGGCAGCTGGGCAGCCAGTCTCCGCTCGGCAGCGAGGGCCCTCTGAGGAGCAGAGAGCCGGAGCCTCAGTGAGTGGGGCGAGCTCTGGGGCCCTGGCTGGGTCCGAGCCTGAGCAGCCCGAGAGCCGGGGCAGGGTGCCCCCCACGGGGGGACAGGGTGTCTGGGCGCCCCAGGCCTCACCTTCTCTCGGTCTGGCAGGGCCGCAAAGCGCCGCTTCTCCTCCTGCTCCTGCGCCAGCCGCTGCTGCTGCCCCCTCAGCTCCTGCGCCCGCTGCTTCCGCTGCGCTCTCTGCGCCCGCTGTTTCTCCAGCCGCCTGGCCTCCATCTCCGCCGTCAGGGGCCCGGGCACCTGGAGCAGGACGGGCTCCGTCACGCTGGGCAGTGGGGGGGGGAGGGGGAGGTCCTGGCAGCCCCTCCCTGTCTCTGCTAACAGCCCCCACAGCTGCTTGCACCAGACGGGGGCTGGGTTCCTCGCTTTTACGCAGGGGCCTTAACACTATGGCCCCCCCGGCTCCTCGCACGGCTCCCTCCCCCCAACTCAGAGTGGGGCAGGTGCAGCCGAGGGGCAGGGCCCCAGAGTGCGTGAGGGGGACCAGCAGCCTGGAGCCGGATTGGTGCTCCCCAGGGAGGGCTCAGGCACCCCGGGGTGGGGGGATTTGAGCTCCCCCCAGCTGTCCTAAGGTGCCAGGGAGGGATCTCCGGGCTGGAAGGGCAGCGGGAGGCACCCACCTTGGCCTGCCCGTAGTCGTACTTGGCTGGGTGATCCACCATGAACTTGCGGAAGACGTTGCGTGTCGACTTGTCGGCAGAGACACAGTACGGGGGCCGCTCCTGCCAGTCCCTGGGAGCCAAGCGGAGAGCGGCTCAGGGCCAGGATAGGCCAGGGCTTGCTGCTTCCCTTTGGCAGGCTGCCCCCCCCCCGCAGGATGGACAGCCCCACGAGCCAGCCAGGCCCCCTCGGGGCCGCTGAGTCCTGGGGAGAGCTGGGAAGGGGACCCCGCCCCGCCCAGCTCCCAGACCAGCCCACCCACCGACCCAGCTTGCTAGATGCCCTGGGACAGGGGAGGGATAGCTCAGTGCTTTGAGCATTGGCCTGCTAACCCCAGGGTTGTGAGTTCAATCCCTGAGGGGGCCACTTAGGGATCTGGGGCAAGGGCTGGACTCAACAACCTTTTCAACTGGTCCCTTCCAATTCCATGATTGATATATATAGATGTACCTATTTTTTAAACAGGCTGCAGGCAGAGGGCAGCTTCCCACAGGCCCCCGGGCCCACCAGCAGGGCCAGGGCCAGCCTTAGGGGTGGGTGACCGCCCAGAGCGCTGGGCTCGGGGGTGGCTGTACCTGAGCGCAGGGTCAGCACCAGCCTCCAGCAGCAGTCGCACAGCCGCCCCCTTCCCTGCCGCAGCCGCCACGTGCAGCAGGGTGAAGCCGGTCCCGTCGATGGGCTCGCTGAGCAGCGAGAGGAGCCCAGGGGTTGCCCAAGGGGCTGCGCGGTTGGGCTCTGACCCCTCACTCTGCACCCTGCCAGGGTGGCCTTGGGGCTGCCCCATGGCACCATCCTCGCTGCCTGCTGGGGGTGCCCCGCTCTCCGCCACACCCAGGAGGCGCCGCAGCGTCCCCACGTCCCCTGTCTTGCAGGCCGTGAACAGGGCGTCGCGGAGCTGGCCCAGGAGCGTTTCTAGCAGGAAAGGACAGATGAGATCAGAGCCAGCCCCAGGGCCCCCCCGGCCCGAGCAGCACAGGCGCACTGCCTGAGCCAGCTCCTCCCCCACCCCACAGCCAGGAATCCCCCCAGGGAACAACCTGCTCGGGGACCCGCAGAGTCTGACCCCTGTGCGGCACACACCAGAGTGCGCCCCCCTCCCGTCACCCCAGGTGAGGCTAAAGCGTGCTCCAGGATGGCACCAGGCCGGATGCGAAGCCGGCGAGAGAGGAGACGCTGTGGTTAACGACCTGCCGGGTTAGCGAGGTGCACCAGCTTCTCGTTTGTCCGGCCACTGGCTCTGCCTGTCTCGGCCAGGCTCTCCCCCAAGAGGTGACACCCCCCGATCACCACCTCTCCGTAAGGGATGCAGACAGCGCTCCCTATAGGTCTCAGTGCAAGGGGCCATCAATCATTTCTGGGGCTCCTCTCTGCACCTCTCCGGTTTTTCGACATCCTACTTAAAATGTGGATCCCCAGAACTGGACACAGGACCCCAGGGTCAGTCTCCCCAGGGCCGTGTACAGAGGTGAAATCCCCTCCTCTCTGCCCTGTTCACACCCCAAGGCTCATGTTAGCCCTTCGCTCAGCCATTTACCACTGACCCCCCCAGTCCTTTCCCGAGGCCCAGCTGCCAGGATACAGCCCCCACTGCACGGCGTGGCCTGCAGCCCTCGCTCCTGGGGTGGGCCTTTCCACTTGCCTGTATTCCAGCGCAGGCTGGGCGATCCGGATCGCTCTGTTCGGTCACCGCTCTGCCTCTTTGGCTCCCCAGCCCCTGCTCGCACCCAGCAGCACATGGGGGGGTGCAGGGGGAGGAGCGTAACCCCAACGTGGCACACGCGGGCAGGGCAGAGACAGCAGCACGGCCCGGCCTGACTTACCTCCTTTCCCCCAGGGAGCAGGCTCTGCCCCAGGCCCTTCCTGAGGGTCTGCCACCGTCTCTGCTCCCGGCTGGGGTGCTGAGCCCTGGGGCTCTTCCTGGCCTCCTGGCCCCTCGGCGCGGGCCCCTGCTCCTGGAAGGACCGGGAGAGGGATAGAAACACGGTCCGGGGCCAACACCTCCCCGCCAACCCGGGGGCATGCAGCTGCCCCCGGCCCCCGGGGCAAAGGCAGGGAAGGCAGCAGCTTCCACCTGCTCATACACCCCCCCAAACACACCAACGGACACCCACGTTAGCCCCGTTCTCACCTCTCCCCACTTTCTCTTTCTTCCTCCTCCTCTTGCGGCTTCGCTTAGGCGTCACCTCAAACTCCCGGAGCTGCAGCGTGCTCAGCGTCACCTCCACCGTCTCCAGCTCCCCAGCCTGGCTCTCCTCCTCCGACGGGGCTTTGGGGGAGACAGGTGGGATTGGGGCTGGTGGGCCTGCCCAGTGCGCTCTGCCAGAGAGGCCCCACCCCTTCTCTGCAGGTGAGTTGGGGAAAGGGCCCGCTGGGGATGACTGTGCCCGGATCAGAGCTGTCCACGATTGCCCCCCACCCCCAGACTGTGCCCTGCGGCAGCGCACTCTTACGGGGTGCCCAGATGCCTGGAACCTGCTGTCCCAAGGGGACCCACAAGGCTGGGGCACAAACAAGAGGCAGCTGCTGCCACACAGGGTCCAGTGCTGGGCACCCTCCCCCATCCAGGAAACCCCCATCGGGGTGGGGGGGCGAGTCAGCCGGTGCCCTCCCCACCCGCCGGCGCCCTTCCCCCTCACTCACTGCTGGCGTCACCCTGCTGGGGCTCTTCCACCCGCGCACACGGCACTTTCCTCCAGCCCTTCCGGGGGGAGCCAGCGAGATCCGCCACCGCTGTGTCCTTCCCTGCGGGACAGGAGCCTTGGGTCCATGGGCCGCCAGCTGGGCCCCGCAGAGACCATCCCCAGACAGAGCCGAGAGCAGGGAGCCACCCCCCCATTCCATAGCGCATGGGGCAGGGCAGGTGCTGCAGACAGAGTGGGAGGGGGCATCCCTGGCGGAGGAACCCACTGCCCCCCACCGAGGTGAGTTCCTCTGAAGTAGGCAGCTTGGCACTGCCACCCTGGCCTGGGCAGAGTCTAGAAGCAATGCCAGCCCGGCCTGGTGGCCAGGGGAACGGGCCGCTCACCCCTCGCCCCCATGCCCCAGTTCTCACCATACACCTGCAGGGTGGCCAGAGCCGTGTGCACCCGCAGCACCTCCCTGAAGGTGGCTCTGCGGGTGCTGAAGGGGATGTTGTAGACGCGGGGGTCGTCCTTGTGCAGAGGGGGGTTCCTGCCGCTGAAGAGCAGTGCCCGGTTGGCACGGGGGGCACGCAGGAAGATGCGCTGGGCTCCCTGCAGATGCTGCGCCCAGCCGGCCAGTAGGTCCTGGATGTCCTGGGGGTGGAAGGGGGGGGATCACCGCTAGCTCCCGGGCCCCACCTGCCAGCCCTCCTCTGCACTGGGGTATGGCCAAGCACGGCCAGCCCTGTGCAGCTGTGGGGTGCTGGGGTGGGGACGGGGACTCAGGGGTTACAGCCGTACAGCTTAGGGGTTCTGATATTATCAAGGCATCAGTCTGGTGCTCGCTGCATGGTGGAATACCAGGGTGTACGTGCAGGATCCCCCCCATGTGCTGCCTGCCGGCACCCCCCCAGCCTAGGGACAATGGGGACTCGTTAACCTTAACGACTGCTCTGATGCCTAATGGGTACACGAAGGGGCTTGGCTGAAGCCAGGCGCAGGTTTTCTCTACAGCTGCTTTGGAGAGTGGGCACCTCCCAGAGGCAGAGGTGACACAGCAGGGTTAAAAAGGACTCCTGGGGAGAAGCTTTGGAGAGAGACCCAGGAAGACAGGGCAGGAGAGGCACAGGGACAGGCCGGTCTTGCAGCAGGGGGGCCCGGCCGAGGACTGCGAAAGCAAGCTGGCCATGGCGGGGAGGACGCCGGCCTCGACATGAAGCCAAGCTCTGCAGCAGGACCATGGCCCTACAGAGCGCGCTGCAGCGGGGAGGAAGCTGGGGCAGGGAAATGTGAAGAGGGATTATCGGTTAGGTCTAGATCTGGGCATTTCTCGTGCTGTGAAGTGAAGAGCAGTGGTGGGGTAGGATCCTGTGCAGGGTGCATGGGGTGACCCCAGAGCGCCCGGCCCATGGAGGTCTGCCAGGGGCAGAGTTTAAGCGACGGGGCACGTCTGAGGGGCCAGCAGCAGTCCCCGGGGGCTGGGCAGGGGCCCGGGAGGTTTCAGCTCTTGGGAGGGGGCACTAGAGCGGGGTCTGCATTTCCATTGTACGCCGGACACCCCAAGCCAGGGCAGCGTCCGGCCTGTTCAGATGCCAGCATTTGAATCCCTCACAGCAGCCGGGTCAGCGCCAATAAGGGAGCTGAGCTAGATCTGTGACATGCGCCCGGCAGGCTGGCCTGGGATCGGGGAGGTGTTATCCCTAAATGCCCCTCTCAGGCACTGCCGGAGAGCCTGGGGTGGGGGAGAGGGATCCCAAGCACAGGGGCCTCTATCTCATGCCCCAACCCCTAAGCAGAATGACTGAAAACCAGGGTGGCATCCCAGTGGGGAGCATGGCACTGTACCAGCACCCCCCCGCCAGACCCCACGTGCCCTCTCCATCCCCACTCCGAGGCGCCCCAGCCATAGGACACACGGAGCCAGCTGCAGCCAAGGCCTTGGAGGGGCTGCTCATGGCCTAGGCAGCCCTCACCCAGAGGCTGCCCCAGCAGCGAGGGCCCCATCCTGAACTGGGCCTGTGCACTCGCCCCCACCTTGAGCAGAGCCGCCTCGTTGTACCGCCGCAGTGAGGCGCCGGCCGATTTGGGCATGGAGGCCTGGCCCTGGGCATCGCGCAGTCCCTGCACCGTGCCCCGGCGGGCACGCACCGTGTACCGGTGGAAGGTCTTGTGATCCAGCACCTCAGGCCTGGGGGAGAGAAACCTCAGAGTGGGCCAGGGCAGCAGGACGGGGACCCTCGTTGCCATGGGGGAACAGAGCCAAAGCCCCACTCGGTGAGGGCAGGCCTGGACGTGGGTCTGTGCGGCACACGCTGGGCTGGGTGTCAGGACTCCTGGGGTTTCTTCCCAGCTCTGGCACCGACTCACTCTGGGACCCGGGTGAGCTCCTGCCCCTGCCGTAGCCTCCGTACAGAAGGGAAATGAACACTCCTCTTCCAGCCAGAGCAGCTGCCAGCTTCGGGGGACGGACAGGCACAAGAAGGGTACCCCAGGAGCTGCTGCTGCTGCCAGGGGCCCGTGAAGGCTGTGGCAGTGCCACGTGTCCCTGGGGAGAGGAGAGGCGCCTTCTGGGCCAGCCCCCACAAGCAGACAGGGGGCAAGGGCCCATCTCACCACATCCCCTCTGATCCCCTCTGCCAGGGGCAGACATCCCCAAACCACCTGCAAGCCACAGAGCACTCCTTCCCACACCAAGGCCCGCACAGGACTCTGCCCGCTGGAGCAGCAGACCCTGCCCCAGCCCCAGCCCCAGCCACTCACCCCCTGAAAACGGCTCCTGCAAAGTGTCCACCGCCTGTCATCAGGATAACCCAACAGGTGCCTGCGCCCAGGCTCTGCAGAGATGCCACCAGCTCTGCCTGCTGCTCACCACCGCCCTGGCACAAGGAAACCCTCCTGTTAGCAGCCCGGTGGCACACACCCTCCCTGGCCATCAGCTGCCGCCCCCTGTTGGAGCCGATGACCCAGCAGGCTCTGCCAGCTGGGAGCCATTAGCCAGGGGCTCTGCAGGCAGTGGGGGAAGGGGCAGTCTGGGGGCTGACCCACGGGGCAGGGGCTGGGCAGGGAGCAGGGGTTGCCCCTTCCGGCTGAGGCCAGACAGGTGATCATGGCGGCAGCAGCAGCAGCTCCCGTCTGAACAGGGCTCATCAGGCACCAAGTAAAGCCTTGGTTCCACCCGGATGAGCTGGGCCTGGGCCCCACCCCCCACACCTGGGCAAGGATCCTCTGGCAAGCAGCTAAACCCAGACCAGATCCCGACAGAGCTGGCGCCCAGCTCCCCTGCACACGCGTCCAGCTGCCCGCGGGATCACAGGGCAAGGAGGGGTCGGGGTCCCAGCCAAACCCCGCTTGCCGGCCCGACAGGGCTATCCCAGACCTCCGGCAGGTCACTGGGGATGGGGCCCAGCACTGCCGGGCCGTCACTTGCCTTCTTACTGCCCAGCACACAGCGGTAGGCAGAGAGCAGCTGGCCCTGGGAGTTGTGGAACAGGACCTTAGCCGAGCGGGTGCCTGGGCGGTGGCTTTGCTGGCCGCTCCCCGGGTCGCCGTGGCTTCGGGGAGAGAGCAGATCGGACTCGCTGCCCGAATCGGAGTCATCAGAATCGGACCCAGAGATGCTGGAGACGTCACCTGCAAACCGGGCAGGAGGGGGACAGGGGTGTCAGATGCTAAGGCGCCCAAGGAAGGCACAAGTCCTAGAATGAAGAGGAGGGAACAACTCCCAGTCCACTAGGATCACAGAGCCACCTCCTCCACGTCCCAGCTGGAGACCTCGAGATCCCCCAAATGTCACCTGAGCACCTGTCCCCCTTCGCCCCCCCCCAGCCTTCTAGGTCACGTGCGATGGCCTCTCGCAGCCCAGCCAACGTGAACAATGTGGAGACAGCCCATCTGACGCTCCAGGGGTAGCGAGCCAGGCGGATGCTGTGGAGGGAGGGCGCCGCGTTATGGGG